CCGCGGCGACGAGGCCGGCGACGAGGACGGCGACGAGGACGACGACGGCGACGACGACGACGACGACGACGGCGACGGCGACGGCGACGACGACGACGACGGCGGCGGCGGCGGGGACGGCGACAAGGCCGGTGACGACGGCGGCGGCGACGGACGGCGGGCGGCGGGGGGAGAGGAGGAGGAGGAGGAGGAGGAGGAGGAGGAGGAGGAGGAGGAGGAGGAGGAGGAGGAGGAGGAGGAGGAGGAGATAGGAAGGGGTCCTGGGGCACACACGAATCGATACACACAAATAAAAAGGATTCCCATCATTTCCCATATCTTTTGTTTTCTTTGTCTTCCCCCCCACACTTCCCATATTTTCCCAGATTTTCTGGGGGGTCGACGATGACTTGTGTGTATGTGTGGTTTTTTCCCCCTCCTGAAGATAGAGGTGGGGGGGGACCGCGGGGGAGAGGCCGGGGAGGCTGCCAGAGCTCAGAGCTGGCGGGTTGGGTGGGAGCTGGACGAGCGGTGATGCGGGAAGGGCTAAAGCTTGGGCAGGAAGCTTGGGAGGGTCTGGAAAGCTAGAAGCAAGAGAGCCGGGGAAGCTGGGCACCCAGAGAGTGTTGGCGACAACAGAAGCTGGAACACGATGGCCCATGCAGTAGAAGCCGGAGAGCTGGGACCCCACCAGAGAGATGGAGAGCTGAGAGGCCGGGTGGCTGTGAAGTCCAGGCAGGCGAGACGCAGAAGGGCTGGAGAGGTGGAGGAAAAGTCGAAAGGAAAACCATCTCCTCCATCCCTCCCCCTCGCATGCTCCCGCTCCTGCTGGCTGGAGGTGAAGTCCATATGCGACGATCGCATTCTTGCCTGGCTGCCTGAGGTACGGGCCACCTTGCCCCTTCCGAGTTATAGATTTGCACGGTCTTCGGGCCGATCGGGAGGAGCATAGCGTAACGCATGGCTTCAGGATGGGTTCAGCTTCGCTTACTGCGACTCGAGCGCTTGACTGGGCTGTCAGAACCATCCTATGGTATTGGGTCCACGTTTTGAAGAGACAGCGCCCCGCGTCTCCTCTCCTCCTCTCTCCTCCTCCTCCTCCTCCTCTCCTCCCTTCCCTGTCCTCCTCTCTCCTCCTCCTCCTCCCTCCCTCTCTCCTCCTCCCTCCTCCTCTCCTCCTCCTCCTCCTCCTCCCTTCCTCCTCCTCTTCCTCCTCCTCCTCCTCCTCCTCCTCTCCTCCTCCTCCTCCTCCTCCTCCTCCTCCTCCTCCCCCCCCTCCTCATGCCTGCCTCTGCCTCCACATGCGCACCCCTCACACGTTTCGTGGGTCCATGGGGAGCTCCACCGAAAGCCCCAGTGGGAGGGTCCACATGAGGCTCCCCACCGAGCTCGGCACACCCATGGTATTTCTCGTGGCCCTGCACGGAGCGCCACCGAAGGCCTCAGTGGGAGGGCTCTCTCGCGGCTCCCCGCCCGTTTCGGCACACACCCCCACACGCTCCGTGGGTCCGTGGGGCGCTCCGCCGAAGGCCCCGGTGGGAAGGGTCCCCTCTGCGCGGCTACCCTCCTCTCCTCCTCTCCTTTCCTCCTCCCTATCCTCCTCCTCCTCCTCCTCCTCCTCCCTCCTCCTCGCCTCCTCCCCTTCCCTCCCCCTCCCCCTCCCCCTCCCCCTCCCCCCCACCCTCCCCCCCCGTCCCCCTCCCCCTCCTCCTCCTCCTCTCCTCCCCTCCCTACCTCCTTCCTTCCTCCTCCTCTCCTCCTCCTCCTCCCTCCTCCTCCTCCTCCTCCTCCTCCTCCTCCTCCCCCCGACATCTCGGCACACCCCATCAACGCTTGCCCTGCGGCCGCATGCGCAGCGCCGCCTGAAGGCCCCAGGAGGGGAGGGCCCTGCTGCGGCGCCCCGCCCGCTTCGGCAACACCCCCTCGCACGCTCCCGGGGCCCGCGGGGAGCTCCACCGAGGGCCCCCGTGGGATTACCAGCCTGGAGCACATCCCTATCCCTGTGCTGGGTATCTCCTCATCACGATGCCAATCCTGGGGGGGTTCCCTTATCTTCTTGAGGGCGGACCCCTGAGATGGTCATCGCCTCCTGGCGTGCCATATCTTGGGGATAGGGATGCGCTCGAGGCTGGCAGTGGGAGGGCCTGCGTGCGGCAGCCCCGCCGAGCTCGGCCCACCCCTCACGCGCTTCGTGGCTCCATCCACGCGCGGCGCCCCGCCCATTTCCGGCCCGTCCCCCGCGCGCGGCGCGGGCCCGCGGGGAAAACCTAGGGCTCCCAACTTCGCGCTTCGCGCTCCGCGAAGCGCGGAGCGCGAATAACTTCGCGCCCTCGCGCCGCCCCCCCAAAGGGAGAAAAGGAGGACGAGGAGGAGGGGGAGAAGGAACGAGGACCGCGAAGCGCGAAGCGCGAATAACTTCGCGCCCTCGTGGGAGCCCTTGAAAACGGGGGGTCCCCACGCGGCTCCCCGCCCACGCCGGCACAGACCCCACGCGCCTCGTGGCCCCCGTGGGGCGATCCACCGAAGACGACTCTCGCCACTGCGCGGCCGAGAACTGCACGTGGCCGAGCCCCTCGCCAGGACAGTTTTTCGGGAGGCCGCACGCGAACCCTGCCCCCACCACCCCGCGATTTCTGAGGGGGGAGGTGGGGTTCATCTCGTTCGGGACCTCCCGAGCGAAGTGCTCCCCACCTCCCCCTTCAGAAATCGTGGGGCGGTGGGGTGGGGTTCGCAGGTGGCCACCGACATTTCCTGACATGCGGCTCAGCCAGCAGGCCACATGATCACAAGGCACTGCAGCGTGGCGCGGAGAAACGCAACCAAGTTTTGCGGCACACGATGATTTACGCTTGCTGATATGTAGGCGTCCCAAATGCCTGACGAAAGATTGCACTCCGAGTGGAGACTCAGTGGCTGAGAATCTCACGCAGAAACGGGCAGCCATCAGAAAAGTGCCACGCCTCATGGGCAAGGAAAGAAGCGAAGGGTGAGATGGGGCCTGCACTGCCTTGGCCCAATGCTCATCCTGTGGGCGCCTTTGCGCCCAAAACAAAAAAGTGAATGCCTACCAGCAAACAGATCCCCACCGCGATGTCCCGAGATCAGCGCGGCGCTCCACAAGCTGGCACAAGCCGGCAACTTCGAGCTCGCAGCACCAGCTGGTAGTTCGTGGAAGCCACAGCGCGAAGTGCCAGCTTGTTCACTCAACCTCCCGACCTATCCCCAGATCGATATTCCCCCCTCCCAGCCACTACTATGAAAGATGCCCCCCAACGAGAACACGGAACAACCTCCCTCCAAGCGCCATGATATGATCACGCGCCAACGGATGAAAGATGCATGTGGTTGAAAGCGTTCCTGTAATCGACTGCCTAGCTGGACTGCGTCCTGACAGATGCCCTGTTTCCGTTGGGGACACGTGTCCCCCGCGGAGACAGTGAGAGGACACATGCAGATGTTCGCTTGCCGTCCGAACAGAGCTGCCGAGCGGGATGGGCCCAATGCTCACCTTGTAGGCGCCTGTGCGCCCAAAACAAAAAAGTGAATGCATACCAGCAAACAGATCCCCACCGCGATGTCCCGAGATCAGCGCGGCGCTCCACAAGCTGGAAGCCACAGCGCGAAGTGTCAGCTTGTTCACTCAACCTCCCGACCTATCCCCAAATCGATATTCCCCCCTCCCAGCCACTACTATGAAAAATGCCTCCCAGCGAGACCACGGAACAACCTCCCTCCAAGCGCCATGATATGATCACGCGCCAACGGATGAAAGATGCATGTGGTTGAAATCGTTCTTGCAATCGACCGCCTAGCTGGACTGCGTCCTGACAGATGCCCTGTTTCCGTTGGGGACACGTGCCCCCTGCGGAGACAGTGAGAGGACACATGCAGATGTTCGCTTGCCGTCCGAACAGAGCTGCCGAGCGGGATGGGCCCCATTAATGCTCACCTTGTGGGCGCCTTTGCGCCCAAAACAAAAAAGTGAATGCATACCAGCAAACAGATCCCCACCGCGATGTCCCGAGATCAGCGCGGCGCTCCACAAGCTGGCACAAGCCGGCAACTTCGAGCTCGCAGTGCCAGCGGGTAGTTCGTGGAAGCCACAGCGCGAAGTGTCAGCTTGTTCACTCAACCTCCCGACCTATCCCCAAATCGTTGTTCACCCCGCCCGACCACTACTATGAAGGATGCCTCCCAGCGAGAACACGGAGCAACCTCCCTCCAAGCGCCGCGGTATGATCACGCGCCAACCGATGAAAGGTGAATGTGGTTTAAAGCGTTCCTGTAATCGACCGCCTAGCTGGACTCCGTCCTGGCCGATGCCCTGTATCCGTTGGGGGCACGTGTCCCCCACGGAGACAGTGAGAAGAAACATGCAAATGTTCGGTTTCCGTGCAAGCACAGCTGCCGAGCGGGATGGGGCAAGACGGAGTGAGGATTACGAGCGAAGGAGGGCTGCGAAAGAATAGGGTAGAATTGCAACGCTTCGAAGCTTTCACTCGAGATGCAGGTGTCAGCCATGGGTGACCAAAGTGGCCTTGCCGCCTGCGCTAAAGCCAGAAGGAGAGGAGAGATTGGCCCTTCGAGCAGCTTCTGTAGCTGCTGGATGGTTCACTAATACCGCGCACGTCGACTCTGGAGTGGTTGTCCTTGTCTGCTCCTTTCCCTCCCCCACCACCACCCCAAACATCCGACGTCTCGATTTTTTCGAGACGCGGGCCCCCGACCTCCCGACCACTTCCCTGGGACCGGTTTTTCATTCCGAGGGGGCCGAAAACCATGAGAAACCTCCGCCTCGATTTCCTCGAGACGCCCGATGTGTGTGGGTTATCTGCTCCTTTCCCCCCCCCCACCCCACCACCACCATGCCACCCTCATGCCAGCTGCGCACCCAGGGCTCGAGTAGGGGATCGACTACAGAATTGATTTACCCCAACCTTGGTTTTCTCGTCGAATCTGAAAAAAACATGCAGACGTCCCAGTCGATTGCTGAACCTTCGAGGCTTTCGTCGCAGATGCGATGGAGAGCCAATTCTGGGGTGAATCGATTCTGTAGTCGATCCCCTCCTCGAAGGGCGGCGGCAAGGGAAGCCCGGCGAGCGCTCCTCGGGGAAGGGGAGGAGGAGGAGGAGGAGGAGGAGGAGGAGGAGGAGGAGGAGGAGGAGGAGGAGGAGGAGGAGGAGGAAGGCAGCCGTCGGCGCCGAGCAGAAGCAGCTCGGCCGCGGGGCCGGGCCCCGCAAAGGCCCTGCCACCTGGGCGCCGCCGGGACGCCTCCGCCGCTGCTCGACGTGGCGGCGCGAGCGTCGGGGGGCCCCGTCGAGGCGTTGGCCTATCAGGAACCCCAAAGAAGGAACGAGGCCCCTTTCCCAGACCCCCTCGAGTAATGAAAAAATCGTGACGGGAGGTTTTTCCTGATTTTCGGCCTCCGACGGCCCTCACCGGGCTTCGGGAGCGCCAGAAAACGACTCAGGATGCAGAGCCGGCCATGGGGAAAGGGTCGGGACCTCTGGGGGTCCACGTAGTGAAAGAATCATGACGTCGGGGAGAGCATGCTACGCATGGAATGAATTGAGTAGAAGATGAGGTGTTGGATCCGTGAGTGGATCAGCCTAGACAGTATGATGGTCGGAGGCTTTGATGCCTCTATTGATTGTGGGTCGGCTATGATGCCAGCCAATGCCCACCCCGTCCCGTCTCCAGGGACTTCGCATCCCCCTCCAGAAGTTAAACTTCGCGATTTCCCAAACAGAAGCCTAATGGGGGCACCCAAGGCAAACTGCAAGACCATCACGGGACACCGAGCCCCTCCCCCACGAGAAGCGTGCCTTCCTCAAGGCCCCGACTGCGTGGGGGAGGGGGGACGGCCTCTTAGGAGCAGGGGGGCTTCTTGGAAGGCGCTGGCCCCACATCCATACAGAGAAGGCCCGCGCCTTCCAAGAAGCAGGGGTGCCTCTCAGAAGCCTCCCCCCCTCCCCAGAGATTCGACGTCGTGATTTCTTCAGTACGGGGTTCCCAGAAATCTCGACCCATTCCCCAGGACCGGCTTCTCATCCCGAGTCGATGTTTCAGGCCCGGCGAGGGCCCCTCGAGGCCGAAAACTATGAGCAACCTCCGTCGTGATTCTTTCCATGCGCTGGATCTCTGGGGTGCCGCAGTTGGGCCCGGGCCGCGCGTCACCCCACTGCCTGCGCGCCTCTCATATCCACCGCCCGCTGCGGCACCAGCCCAGACATGCGACGTCCTGATGTTTTCAGGGCGGCGGCCCCAGAAGTCCCGACCCTTTCCCCGGGGCCAGTTCTTCATCCCGAACCGTTTTTTGACGGTCCTGGGGCCTGGCGGGGTCCTCGAGAGGCCGGAAACGGCGAGAAACCTTCGTCCTGATTTTTTGTGTACGACGCGATCGTGTCTGGGAGGACGTCGTTTCCCAGGCGGTGGGTATGGATAAATCCCCGCCTCGCCTCTCAGATGTCGGCCGCGCCCAGCTGCGCGGAGGCCTGCATCTTTTCCGCGTGCGGCGGCTGGCCTCCGCCCAGCGGCAGCACCCCGGCCTTGGCCTTGCCGGCGCTGCCGCCGCTGCCCGGGCCGCGCGCGCTCCTCGCCGGCGCCGTGCTCGGCGCGGGCGGCACCGGAGGAGAAGGAGGAGGAGGAGGAGGAGGAGGAGGAGGAGGAGGAAAAGGAGGGAGCGGAGGGAGCGGAGGAGAGAGGAGGGAGGAGGAGGAGGAGGAGGAGGAGGAGGAGGAGGAGGAGGAGGAGGGAGGAGAGGAGGGAGAGGAGGAGAGAGGAGGAGGGAGGAGGAGGAGGAGAGAGGAGGAGGAGGAAGGAGGAGGAGGAGGAGGAGGAGGCCAGGAGGAGGAGGAGGAGGAGGAGGAGAAGGAGGAGGAGGAGAGGTGGAGGAGGGAGGAGGAGGAGGTGGAGGAGGAGGAGGAGGAGAGGAGGAGGAGGAGGGGAGGAGAGGAGGAGAGGGAGGATAGGAGGAGGAAGGAAGGAGGAGGAGGAGGAGGAGGAGGAGGAGGAGGAGGAGGAGGGAGGAGGAGGGAGCGGAGGAGGAGGAGGAGGAGGAGGAGGAGAAGGAGGAGGAGGAGGAGGAGGAGGAAGAGGAGGAGGAGGAGGAGGAGGAGGGGGAGGGCCTCCAGGCGCCGGCGCCTCTCCATCATCGAGGCGCTCGCGACGGGCCCGAGGGCTGGCACCGGGCGCGACCTCGCCGTGGTCTGGAACGTGGGCGCTGCGGGCCGGGCCTCGGCTACGGGCGTGTCCTTCTGCTTGTGGCAGCTGCTGCGCTGGCTGCCCCCCGCAGCCGGGCTGGTCCTCTGGGAGGCCCGGGCATGGGCACCAGCACCAACACGGGGGGGGGCCTCCACTGGGGGAAACTGATCCTGTAGATCCTGGTGCTGGTGGCAACCTGTCGGCCGCTTGGGAGGCCCGAGTGCTGCCACCATCACCGAGATCGGGAGCACCTTCCCTCGGTGGAGGCACACCGCCGACGTTGGTGTTGGTGTCAACCTCTGGGCCGCCGAGGTCCTCCGCTTCCCCGGGCCAGCCGTGAGCCGGCCGACGGCGCCCAGCGACTGACGGCTGCAGAGGCTGGCGCCGGTGCTGGCGCCCGGGCGGACGGTGCCGCAGCTGCCCTGCTCCGCCGCCGGGAGGCCCACGGAGCTCGAGCACCCCATGGCGCCCGCAGGGAGGCGGGGGCTCTCGGCGTCGCTTCACGGGGGGCGATCGCTGCGGGGGGGGGGGGGAGAGAGAAAGGTGCGGGTGCGCCTTCGGGCCCTCCCATAGGGCACCCGCAGGGGCCCCAGTTGGGCCCCTGTTCTGCGGCCCTCGCTGCCCTCAAGATCCCAGACATGCGACGTATCCTGACTTTTGTCAGGGCAGCGTCCCCAGAGGTCCCGACCCTTGCCCAGGGCTGGGCTGTCGTCCTGAATCCTTTGTTGACGGCCCCGAGGCCTGGCGAGGGCCCCCTGAGGCCGAAAATGGCAAAAAAACCTTCCGGAAGGGTTCTGGGTTTCCAGACATCCGACGTCTCGAATTTTTCGAGACTCGGGCCCCCGACCTCCCGACTACTTCCCCGGGTCCGGCTTTCCGTCCCGAGCCGTTTTTGGACGGGCCCGAGGCCCGGCGAGGGCCCCGAGGGGCCGAAAGCTATGAAAAACCGCCGCCTCGATTTTTGTCGAGGCGCCCGATGTCTGGGTCGGCCCCCCCCCCCGTGACGCGACGCCCGAGGGCTTCGAGAGCTGGGGCCCGCCGTGCGCGCGGCTTGGGCGGCGGCCCCCTGGGCGGCGGAGCCTCCGGGCCTCGCGCAGGGGAGGGAGGGGAGGGCCGCCAGGGGGGGGCGGCCCCGCGCGCCCGGGGGCGGCGGAGACGAGGGCCCTCCGCCCTCCGCCCTCCGCCCTGCTCCCTCCCCAGACCTCCTCGAGTAGGGAAAAATCATGACGGGAGGTTTTCCCTGATTCTCGGCCTCCTGGGGCCCTCGCCGGGCCTCGGGAGCGTCAAAAGACGGCCCAGGATATGCAGAGCCGGTCAGGGGAAAAGGGTCGGGACCTCTGCAGCATGGGGGTCGACGTAACGAAAAAAACATTTTACGTCGGTGGTCTGGGTCTGCCCTCCTCCCTCCGCCCTCCGCCCTCCGCCTTCCTCCCGCACCCCAGGGGGGCAGGCCCTCGCTGCCAAGGGCTGCCTCTGACTCCGACGCGGCCCGAGCCCGCACCGGCTACGCCCGCACCGACTGCTGGGGCGGCCTCCAGGGGCCGCTCTTGCAGCTGGGATCCCAGACCCCCTCTCGAGCAACAGGAGTCACGACGGGAGATTTGTCGCCGTTCTCGGCCTCTGGGGGCCCTTGCCGGGCCTCGGGAGGTACCGCCACAAAACGACTCGGGACCCAAACATGCGACGTCCTGATTTTTGTTCAGGACGGCGTCCCCAGAAGTCCCGACCCTTTCCCCAGGACCGGCTTCTTGTCCTCCTGAGTCGGTTTTTGACGGTCCCGGGGGCCGGCGAGGGCCCCCAGGGGCCGAAAACAGCGAAAAACCTCCATCCTGATTTTTTTTACGACGCGATCATGTCTGGGGATGCAAAAACCGGTCCCGGGGAATGGGTCGAGACCTCGCCCTGACTCCAAATCCGCCCTACTTTGGCTTTTTTTCCCAACTTAGAATTGCGTCGGAAATCCACCTCTAAGAAGCCGAAAAAGTAGGGCGGATATTTCTGCACCCAACATAAAGTAGGGCGGAAACCCACAGAAGTAGGGCGGAAGCAGCAACAGAAAAGTACACCCTGCGAAATGCTTAAGAAATCATGGGTTAAGAAATTCATAGTCTCAGAACTTGAATAAAAACCCAAAATTTCCATTCAAATCTTAGGATTTACATTGAAACATTAAGAATAATCGAGACTCTGGCCGAACATTTAAGTTTTCTTAAGCATCGCCTAAGGTGTAGGGCGGAAATTGGCATCAGCGGGGCCTGAAAAGTGAGGCGGAAATCCAAAGCCCTACTTACGAATTTCCCCAAAGTAGGGCGGATGCGGAGTCAGGACCCGGGCTTCGACTAGACTTATAAGAGTGACCTTTCGCCGGAGTGACCTGTGGTGCGGGCCCGAGTCGTTTTTTGACGGTCCCGTGGCCCGGCGAGGGCCCCTCGAGGCCGAAAAATAAAAAAACCCTCCGTCTTGATTTTTTCAGTGCGTTGGATCTCGGGGGTCATGTCCCCAGACATGCGACGTCCTGATTTTTTCAGGACGGCGTCCCCGGAAGTCCAGACCCTTTCCCCGGGGCCGGTTTTTCATCCTGAGTCGTTTTTTGACGGTCCCGAGGCCCGGCGAGGGCCTCTGGAGGCCGAAAATCATGAAAAACCTCAGTCCTGAGTTTTTTACGACGCGATCATGTCTGGGTCTGGGGATGCAAAAACCAGTCCCGGGGAATGGGTCGAGACCTCGGGGGTCGACGCAGTGAGGAAACCATGACGTCGGCGGTCTGTGAGGTCCAGGCGCCGGGCACCACGGGGCTCCTCCCTGAGGCCCTGGCGCGCCTTCCAGAACATAGCAGATCCTCCTCCTCCTCCTCCTCGTCCTCGTCCTCGTCCTCCTCCTCCTCCTCCTCCTCCTCCTCCTCCTCGTCCTCCTCCTCCTCCTCCTCCTCCTCCTCGTCCTCCTCCTCCTCCTCCTCCTCCTCCTCCTCCTCCTCCTCCTCCCCAGACATTGAGCGCCTCGAACAAACCGAAGCAAAGGTCTTTCATAGTTTTTGGCCTCTCGGGGCCCTCGCCAGCGCTCGGGACCGTCAAAAAAGGACCGCGTCTCGAACAAATCGAGACGTCCGATGTCTGGGTCCTCCTCCTCCGCCTCCTCCTCCTCCTCCTCCTCCTCCTCCTCCTCCTCCTCCAGATCCGCCTCCTCCAGATCCGCGCGAGAGCTTCAATCAAACCTCTCAGGGGCATCTCATGTGCCGGATGGGGAAGCTGGGCATGGGAGAGCCGAGCCCAGAGGTAGACGCGTCCTGGAGGCGGAAAAAGGGGGAGGATACGGGGAGGAGCAGCAGGGGGAGCTCTCGCCATCCTGGGGACCGATTTCTCCCCAGACATCCGCCGAAATGACTTTTCCAATCCGCGTTCCCAGAGGTCCCGACCCCTTCCCCGGGGGTGCCCTGACTCCGGATCCGCCCTACTTCGGGCAATTTCGTAAGTACGGCCTGGAATTTCCGCCTTACTTTTCAAGCCCCGCTGATGCCAACGTTTCGCCCTACTTTTCTGTTGCCGTCTCCGCCCAACTTCTGTGGATCTCCGCCCCGCTCTATGTCGGGTGCGTGACCGAACGTGCGTCAGGGGAAACGCACTGGATGTGCTCCGTGCTGCGTGGCTGCAGCCTGGTTCACTCTTGATGGCCCGCGGGTCCACTTCCGCTGGCTCCCGGGCCCGGGAGCGGGCTCGGAGGAGGCCGAAGCCCAGGCAGGAGAAGCCGCTGGCCCCCACACAAACAGACCCTCGGATCGATGATCTCTGGGCCCGTCCCCCAGGCATGCGACGCCCTGATCTTTGTTTCAGGACGGCGCCCCCGGAAGCTCCGAGACCCCTTCCCCAGGGCCGGCTTTTCGTCCTCCTAGGAGCCGTTTTTGGACGCTCCCAGGGCCCGGCGAGGGCCCCCAAGGGCCGAAAGCAGCGAAAAACCTGCCGCCCGGATTTTGTTTGACGACGCGATCATGTCTGGGATTTGTTGGTTGGAAACGGAAAAAAATGGATATCCATCGTCGCCACCAGCCCCCTAGTGGCCGAAAACTTGCGCCCGGATTTTTTTCACGACGCGATCATGTCTGGGGGTTCGGCCAGATCGTTTTCGGAGAGCCCCGGGGCCAGGCGCGAGGAGGAGGAGGGAGAGGACGGAGGAGGAGGAGGAGGAGGAAGGAGGGTGGAGGAGGAGGAGGAGGAGGAGGAGGAGGAGAGAGAAGGAGGAGGAAGGAGGACGGGAGGAAGAGTGAGAGGGAGAGGTGAGGGGGGAGGGGGAACGGAGCAGGACGGTGGGAAAGGAGGAGGAGAGGAGGATGGAGGAGGAGGAGGAGGAGGGCGGGACGAGGAGAAGGGAGGACGAAGGTGGAGGAGGAGGAGGATGGAGAGGGAGGAGGAGGAAGACGAGACGAGGACGACGAGGAGGAGGAGGAGGAGGAGGAGAGGGAGGAGGAGGAGGAGGAGGAGGAGGAGGAGGAGGAGGAGGAGGAGGAGGAGGAGGAGGAGTCCGGGGCTCCAGGCGGCGCCGGCCGCGGCGCCGCGTGCTCGACGCGCCCGCGGGAGGTCCGGGCTCGGGGCCTCCAGGGGATCGGCGGCCTCTCCCGCGTGGCGCGCTCTGGCCAGGCTTGCGGGGCGAGCCGGGGCCGCGGTGGCGACGGTGGATATCTCCAAGATTTCTTGTATGTTCCAAACAACAAGGCCCAGACGTGATCGCATCGCCAGAAAAGTCCAGGATTGTTTGGCGTTTCGAAACAGCAAAGCCCAGGATTTTGTTTGGCGCGCGCTTCGCGCGCGCTCAGGTTCTAGCAGGCCCCAGGCCTTGACGAATTCACTGCTCCACTGAAGTAGTGGCCACAGTCCACGCATGCCAACCTGCATTCCGAAAGGCCTTCGAAGAAATGGTTCTCTAGGGGGGCGGAAGCCGTATGAATCGGGTTCCCAGAAGGCCTTCTGGGAGCATGGGTTTGGGGGCGTCTTGAGGAGCCTGTTGGGGCGTGCCGTCGTCGTCGTCGTCGTCGTCGTCGTCGTCGTCGTCGTCGTCGTCGTCGTCGTTGTCGTCGTCGTCGTCGTCGTCGTCGTCGTCGTCATGTCATCGTCGTCGTCTTCGTCTCCTGTAGCGGATCCCTAGACCCCTCCCCGGGTCCAAACGAGTAAGCGCAGCAGGGGCAGGAGCAGAAGGCGCTGGGAGCGAGAGGGGAGGCGGAGGAGGAGGAGGAGGGGGAGGAGGAGGAGAAGGGGGAGCAGGAGGGGAGGAGGAGCAGTTCAACCGACATCGGCTACGGAAGGACTCTCCAGGGTCCACCTGACGACTGCCTCTTCTGATGCTCCTTGAGGGACTTCAACCAAACCGCGAGGATCTCGTCGTACGGCGTACGTCGAACGTCATCGGCCGTCCTGGGCCTCTCGGGGGGCTCTTGGGGCATCTTGGGAATATATTGGGCCCTCCTGGGTGGCCTCTTGAAGTGGAAGGCTCCAATTGTCTGTTCGGGCTCCCCCATATTGGGCCTCTCTTGGGGCCGTGTTGGGGCCCTCCTGGGCCGTCTTGGGCGGCTCGTAGGCCGTCTTGGGGCCCTCCTGGCCGTATTGGGGTTCTCTTGGGGGCTTCTCGGGCTGTTTCGGGGCGGTCTTGGTGACCCCTTGAGCCGGCATGGAGATTGGGGAAGCCGACAAGGCCAGAAGGGCGAAGTCCTTCAAAAGACACATAGAAAATCAACGAATTTGGGCTCTCGGGGCTCTGTTGGGAGTCCTCTTGGAGCCTTCTTGTGGCGTCTTGTGGGCCTCTTCCGGGTTTCTTCGGGGCTTCTTGGGGCAGAAAGCTCGAATGGTCGGTTCGGGCTTCCGTCCTGGAGTCCCTCGTGGGGCCGTTTTGGGGTCCTCCTGGGCGTGCTGGGCGCCTCCTGGGCCGTTTTGGGGCCCTCTTGGGTAGTCCTGGCGTCCTCTTGGGAGCTTCGCGGGCTTCCTTGGGTCGATCTATTTGTTTACTCTCCGCGACACATCACATGATTTGCTACGTCTTTGCCTCCGATTTGCGGCTTGCATGTCGGAGGGACGAACAGCGGCCGACGCGCCACTCGCCAGCAGGCCA